CTCAGTGGAGTGCGCCGCGCGCGAAGTGGGCGGGGTGACCTACTTTCGACGGACGCGCGCAACGGACGCTCGCCATGCAGCTCCATGTCCTTTGCCACCGCTTTCATTCCTCTCTTTCCTATTGGGGTCCGATATACATCCACTTGTGTAGGAACGCTTTGTGAATGTTGTCCTTTTATTTTGAGTTCATACAGATCGTTTCAGCAGGTGTTGGTAATGGTCGCGTGCTTTTCAGCATGTAATGGTACTCGACGAGTTCTGCCGTCCGTCAAACTTCAACGGCTATCTGAAGCTGACGAAAACGGTGCATGATCGGGTCACTCCCTTTTTTCTTCTGTCCATCTGATTTTAGTATGTATTAGCTTAGAACTAATTATTTTTATAGGAAATTAAATGTATTATTTAATGAATATACCGGTTAATCTCTCTTGATGAATGGATCTTTTCATTACCCACATATGTGAAGATGTGTATGCTGCATTCTGAGAGCTTCTCTTCTAAGTCGGGTGATTTCCATTGAAAAACATGTAGATATTAGAATTTTCTGTACTACACAGCTGTCAAATTCACTTTCAATTTGATTTTAATAAAAATTTGCCTTCAAAAAAGTGATTCGAGAATGCTGAATTTAAAGTGATCTTTGGAAATTCTAAAGCTAATTTAACTGTTGGGGAGGAAGACCGAAAGGAGGTTCATCCGCGTACAAGCCGTGCTTTCGTAAAGATATCGAAAATCGGGTGCCAAAGCTCAGACGGATTTGAGTTAGAGGCACCGTTCACGATAAAAATAACTTATGAGATATCCCGGTATGATCAATCTGAGGCCCACCCGTACACCATTCTCGTCGCGGTCTTTTTCGGAAAACGGTCGAGATGGCGCGTTATAAAGGCTCGAAAATTGTCCCGGACGAATTTCAACAACATCAAAGGCCGCATCGCTCTAAAGAGAACCCATGAAGGAAACTTAAGCAACTTGTCATAACTCGTAGGACAGTGAGAGGCAGTTTTGTACAGTTCTTGCTTGACGTAGTCAGCCCTTTACTTATTTCCACCAACTCGTCCGAATAATCCGCCATGTCTTTTCCGTTATGGTAATCTCGTACCCCTATTTTCACTACCTTTGAGCAGCCTTAATTTTCACGAAATCGGCGATGTTCTCGCTTCCCCGGCCACCGCTGCACTATTACAAACCAATACCTCCACTTTTCGACTTGAAAAAGGAAAGTTCAAAGTTGGGCCTTCAAATTCGATTTTTCTGATATTGATTCAGATTTACACTGTTAAAGGCTTTATACATAGAAGGGTGGATAAAAGAACATTATGACAATTGCATGAATCTCATACTAAAACACCGAATAAAATTAATGGGTAAAATAAGGAAGACACAGACAAGACAATGACAGTACAGGCGTAAAGAATCCTATAAGACTACAAGAACACCGGATATAAAGAATAAAAACCACGAAAGTAAAAGCTGCGCGTCCGACCACAACCCGGGTGCTTTGAATACCTACATGAGGCAAACGTCAAATATATACAGAATTATTGGCATGGTTTAGGTACAAGGGATTTTCTAATAAAACTCAATCACGATGACAAAATTACATTGGTTAACACAGTGTTGCATACAGTGTACGTCCTGCACTTCAACAAAATCCAGCAAAAATTGCAAAATTTGAATACTAAAAGAACTACCTTTGGTGTTAGATATTGTAGTGAATCACATTTATGGTACTTCACAGTATGAAGTACGATTAGCTCATGAGATGAAGCGTTATGTGTACATAACTCGCATTTGACTAATGGGAAAAGCAATGTTAGTTGTAAAAACAATTTATGAGCATACTTTTTGAGAAAAGTCCATTTATTCAAGATGCTCCCTGTGTGGCAGGCGAACAGGCGAGGTCTTGAAGGGACTGCTGAGTATGGGCTGTGAGCGAAGACAAAATTGTTGAATCTACTGGTTCAAGACATGAAGGGCAAGTGAAAGATCTGAAAAAAACAGGAAACTGTTAATGATTATTTATGAATGGGGAAGTCGATAAGCATCAGTATTATGTATATGGATATATATTTAACACTATGTATAAAGCATAATGGAGGTTGCACTAGAAAAANAAAAATATGGAGAATCTTTCATCTTGACGACACATATCCACCTCAGAAATTTTACCCATGACATAGCACCCTTGCTTCTCTGGTTCGACAAACAAATTACCATGAAATGCGCCGCTAGGAACTTTCTGCTTGACTACAGTGATGACAAACCTATTCATGCACTCATTGATTTTCAGTCAAACGTACAATTTCACATCCTACCCCTGACAATTAAATGCAAAGTAGTTGATCCAGTTCAGCAGCAGGAAGGCATCAGGCTCATTGATCCATCCGTATTGTTTTATACTGGGGAATCGGTCTACGAGCAAATAAGTAAGGGGAAGGTAAAAAAGAGAACACAAAAGAGTCTCCAGTCTACCTCCATCACTGTATTTTCATCATATTTCTCCCAATGGAGTACTACTTCCCTTTTATCTGACAAAAGGATTCTCTCATGGTTCTCGTTTTCTAGGTGGGCCATAGATAGCGTCCATTAGGCCATAGCACATGCAAAAAGTCTTGCTTTGCATTCGCATATAACAAGTGACAAAAAATTGCTGCCTTAGTCACGCGATCTTATATTAAGTTTACATTGTACCAGCGCATAATATTTGCATCGTACCATTTAGGTGAAACTAAGTCAACAAATAAAATGGGAAAATGATAAATACTAACAAAAACGAATACATTACCTCATCAACCAATCATCTACACATGTCTGATGAAAAGAGTGCATACATGGCAGGAATCTCACTTTCTCTCCGGGTTCGAAATCCACCATACATATAGCACACCTACAACGAAATCATTTAGCTGTGGTGGTAAAATACGATTTGCATGATGTAATCGGGAAAGAAAATATCGCAATTATTGATAGAGTATGTAAAATGCAAGGAAACACTTACTCGCTACCCTTCATATCGGCACGGAATTCGTCTGCCGGAATCTGTTCTAACAGTCTCCTAATTCTTTGCCGTTGTGCGTCTTCACGTTGCTTTCCTTCGTCAGCAGCAGCACGCTGACGAGCCACATTCGCAGCATACAGTTGATTTACATAAGGGCTCTTAAATATTCTTCATTTGGTTCATTATATATGTGAAGAAAATAGAATGTTCTAGTCAGAACCGACGTCAACCAATCTCGAACATTTGTCCCAATATGCTCACCGCAAAAAAAGGGAAGAAAAAATGATTCCATTTTTTATTTCATGAAAAAGAAGATCTATTGGCAAACCCTCCAATCGATGGAGGACATTGCTTAGTGTTATTCGAAGAAAATTTGTGATCAGCGCTAAAAGTTCAACGCGTTACGAAAAAAATGAAACAGTCGATAACCGTCGAAACGTGGAAACGTAGTGTAAATGGAATCAAAATGAGAAAATGTCAGAAAGTACACTCTGGGTTTCGTAAAGTAATTTTTCAAACTCCACACTTTCGAACTGTGTTTTGTAGCACATGCTTCTCTGTACAGCAAATCACCTAGTAGTGCTTTGCTGTAATGTTTATATCCCAGTTTGGGACGAATCCTAATATACGTAACTGACGTATATTAGGATTCTTCCCTAAAGTGGGTTATATATATTACAGTGAAGCTAAGCTACTACGTCTAATTGTGAGGCTTTAGTTCTCCGTTAATCTAAGTGTGCCATATATGGGATAAAGGGATTCTTGAAGTAAATTCCGCCCACGGAGTGTATCCCAAGTTCATTGTAAGGCAATGTCAAAGAAAAAATGTTCAAATCGAATGGAACTGAAAACAACGCAAAGTGTAGCAGCAACCAAACAGCGGAAATCAAATTTAAAAACCTACACTATTGGGAAGATGCATCACAGGATTGCTGAAACCCATCGCGTTTTGGGACGAATCTCCAGAAGATGATCTGAAGGTTTACATTAAGGTACACAATTATTGTAAGATTTGACCTGAAATTAAGAAACAGTAACAAAATTCATTCCAGAAAACAATGTATGCGTGTACATGTTTTCATCAAAAAGTACCCTCTAACGGTATAAATGACTTTCATTTTTCGCACAGAAAAAGGTGAAATGGCGAGTTTCAATGATCTCATAAATATACATTCATACAATACGGGGAGAGATATTCGGGTTGCTGTAAAAGGCCATTACATATTTTTTTAGCTTGTGCCGCATAATACTCATACCGCACACTATTCAACTACCACTTTGTTAAGCAATTATTGTATTCCCGTTGAAGAAGCTCCAAAGTCATGCCCCTTCCTGACACCAATATTATGGGACTTTTTCGTGTTACATAAATGAGCAAATTTATGATGGAAACGATTCTGCAAGATGAGCACCATATGGTCATTGCAAACAATGAACCAGGCAGTTGTATTGATTCAAGTGTCAGGGGCAAATTATTAATGAATAATAGCAGTGAAAATTTATAACTACATAAAAAATCGACAGCATAGAATACTGAAGACACTGTATTAAATAAATCATACCTTACAGTATCACGGCTGGAGATGTTCCGGCTCATTCGGAACAACACAGGCAGGCAGTTACCCATTGTTAAGGTGAAAACTGAATATGAAGTCTTCCAGACCCTAAATCAGAAGCTACTTCTTTATATTCCGACAGAAAAAAAGAAAACTGACTGGCAAAGATTCGAATTGATTGGCTGAGAATGAAAAGAAAAGTGGACAACAAGAACAGCAATGAGGAGGACCCCCCGACTAGAAGGCGACACGATCGATACGGGTTGACAACCGCCGGGGACGGGGGTTGCGAAGCGATGAATACACAAAAAAGACAAAGGAATGGGAGTCCTTTACACTCGAAATAGAAACCGCAAAGACTAAAATGATAGTCGTTACCGTCACATGCCCGATTGAGGTCAACTCGATGCATAGGGATCAAAACAACAAAAGTCAGATGTAAAGTGTCAATAAAACATGCGAGTTTAGAGTTTGGGCCATCGAAACGATAAACTTTCGCTTTTCCATTCAATAACAGGTTCCACTTCAGCAGTTCAGATAAAAATCACCGTAAAACTGGACCTACGATAGTGACTTCATCAGCCCTGTAAGAAATTCACTTCAAAAACTCATTCGGGAAGAAATGGCTTGAAGGGTGGAATGCACAGAATAAACATCATACTGCCATACCCGTTAAGCATGGGATATAATCAGTAAGCATTGAGACTAAAGGTAAGCTGTCTCGGTGATGTCATTCAGAAGAGTACCCAAAGGTCAAGAATACTTAGGTAGAACTAGTAAACAAACCCATAGCTCAACGACTGTGTGCAGCTGAATAAAAAATTCTATAGTGCAACGGAAGGTTTACATCTATCTTTGTTTTTTCTGTTCACATTGTAACAAGATGATCTGCTTGAACGTTGAAGTTTTAGCGCAAGGTGATTAGAAGTTACTTCACATCTCAGTCCAACTATATATTTACGCCTAAAGCCCACAAATAAGCTGAAGAATACCCTCAACAACTACAATCAGCGAGCGCGATCAACAAAAACATCCGATAAACAAGCGTAGCGCCATCGACCAGAATCTTTGACGTCATTTTGGTTGCTTGCGCAAACGTCACGGTCACTGTCATTAAATTTACGGAAAAAGTTGAGCGAAGCTTGCGAGGAATAAGTGTAAAAATACCTTGAATCACCTGTGCAAATGCATGATTTGGAGAGGTACCGTGCCTTTACGCCTATATTTAATCTTCGCACTGGTAGCTCTTCGCATGAAATGGCCTCTGTGATGCGTTCGCTCTTTCTACCACCCATTTGCTAGTGTATGTGTATGAAGAAACTGAAGAATCTCAACCATATAGTTCAGACGCTTTTCTACTTGTGATGGCGGCTCAGTGGTTTTGGTAGTATTCTTTCCAACTTCACGTCTGACAGTCTAAGACGAATACCATGCATCAGGAAAGAACTCTAAGTTGGGATTATGACAGGAGTCTCCCCGGCCGTTGTTCGAGAAACTAATCTTGGGTCCGTTTGACCACCGTAACGTTTGAGGAAAACGAGAAAGCTTGGGGTGTCCTGGACGGTAAAAAAGTCAAAGTTCGAAGTTTTTGGCGTTAATCAATCACGTCTGAGGGATGGGTGTGTATGCGGCTTATACAATGACTTGCGTANGCCAGCCGATGTACAAGTCAGTGTTTTTATCCTTCCAGACGAGTCTGGTACCAATTAACCAACCCTGTAGGGATGGAAGGCTTGGCTGGCCTGGGCGGACATCGATCCGAGATTCGAACCTCTGACTGCACGTGTGAATGCGCCTCTTGCCAGTCCACCAACTCCGCCAAGACGGTGATACGACAGAATATTAAGGTGATCGTAACCTTAGACGAGGCCACCTTTCGCTCTGCATTGCAGTACTTCGCTACTGTAGTACAATGCCTAGTCATTAGAGAGGTAAAAGTTAGTTAGTTCAGCATCAGTGGCGCCATACCCCTGCTGAAGAGAGGATATACTTCTTCACCTCCGAATATGATACTTTACTACTTTTTTACCACACTCTATGATAGTATTCCTACTTAGCGCCATCAGGAAAAGGTATTTCGGACCTTACTCGGGCGACGTATACTCATCCCAACTGATTTGTTCCCCTTTGAACGTTCGAACACTCACAATCAGTAAAAACGTACTAGCGCATTTTAAACTGGGTAAATTAAATTAAGGGCGGAAGTGTTGTTGGTGCTGTCACCCCCATCCCTAATACTAGGCGCTAGAACGCAGGAGAGGGGAGGCCATCTTTGCAGGGCTGTAATGATGGCTCCTAGGAAGAATTGGTATGCTAGACAACTGTCGCTTACATTTTTAGAGAGAAATTTATCAGTAGTCAACTGAATGTTCGTTTCTTCTGCCATCCCAGCTTTTGCACAGGGTGATCAGCTCACCAATCCCGATTCTTTTCCCCTTCTAGGCTCACTTGAAAAGCTGTATTGCCCTGACCAAGCACTATTACAGGCCCGCGGAGCTGCCTATCACTCGTTCGCTGTGCTTTAATGTCAGTGCTATAGAAGAGTGGTGCCCCTTTCCTCGACTTCACTTTTGTAGAGGGAACTAATTGTGACACTGGAAGGAAGTTGCGTCAAAGACTAGGCTAAAAAACGTCTTGAAGGAGTTTCTCGGCTTGAGTTCGCCACTAAAACTGGCTACAACGATAAATGTCCAACAATGCATTATCCCCATTGAGAGCAGCAATCTCGAAATTTGATGTCTTTTTTACGAGGCTTTCACAAAATAAAAGCTTTCACGAGGCCATTCCGAACTATCGACTGCTTTCCTTACGGCCCATCCCAGATGTGCTGGCTCTTTGAGGGATTGAAGACAGAATTCTTTCTTATTAGTTACTCTTTAGAAAGCTCTTAGATTGCTCCGAAGATTCAGGTTTGAGCAGAGGAAACCGATTACTGTGGGAGTCCATGAAGTTATCAAAATAGCTTTGGTTTCTGATAGCTACCGTAGTTATTTATAATATTTACAATAATCAGTTGTTTAAGTGCGGTAATAATTGAAGTGACGTATCAAAACTGCGCGACACAACACCACAACACAACATGTGTTCGAGCAGAAGGGGATGGGGAAGGGTTCGCTGTAGGGGGGAGGGGGTTCCCGACTATGGCACGTACCGTGATAGCCTCAATACTAGCTTGAAGTGATTGCTCCATTGCTGCTGTAACAGAATCGTTTTTCCCAAACATTATTGGTAAGCTGGCCCGAGAGCATAGAATCTTGTATAGCTGGCATTCATGGGTGAAGCGGACGCCCTCGTCTTTTCTGGTGAGGTAACCTCAGAGGCGCAGGGAGCAAGTGCTTCATACTGAAACTTCATCTTCCAAAATGCAGCCGGTGCCGTTTCTTTCGACGCGCTACCACGGAAACGGAGAAACCCCCTCTCCGTCGATTTCCTCAGCCTTCCTACCATCCTTACTAAACAGACCGACCTAGAAGCGCCATAAATCGGCTACCCACCCTCTTCAGTAATCAGTACTGAAGAGGGTGGGTAGCCGATTTATGGTGATTTATTTATAGACCCTTGACACTCCAAACGCTATTACATCTTTCCATGCCAACATACGCTTGTAAAATTACAATAAGTAGCAATGCGGTGTCATTATTCCAACTTCTGGTAATAGGATAAGTTTTTATTGAATAGAAATTTACAATAAAATATGAAGACGCTAAAATATCACAGTACACTGCATTACTCAATGGATTTACTAGTAGGGAGATCTGTAGCTCTTTAGCGGCACGGATTGTTTGTGCAGCAGATGCAATCAACACCATTTGTCGACGGAAATCCGGTAGCAGCAATCTGGAACGGACAAGTCGTGATACGTCGTTTTCAATCATTTTTTAATAATAGAATGTCAAATAATTACGAATGTGCGCTCTTAACTTCGTTAGAATCAATTTCTAATCGAAAAATTCGAAAACCTACAGTTGTGAGTCCAGCAGCGAGAGCTCGAGATTGGCAGCAACCATTGCAGCGGTCCCTCGGATCAGCACCATTCGCCGTACAAGTGGTGGTGGTGAAGGAGCCGTCGATATTCACAAGAAACTGGGCTTTTCTTGTACATGCTGAAAGTTCGTTCACGGAGTATGTAGCTTCAAACGATTTCAGAATAGCTTCTGGGAGGTGCTTAAGGAGCTTTAATGACAAAACAACCCCACTTCCATCCCAATCTGGGAAGGATTCCCACGAAACTGCCAAATGCAGCCCACCAAATAATTTTTGTCACGCCTAGCCACTACATGTCAGCCCCTAACAGGCTTCCGGTCTCCAAGGAATGTAAATCTTATAGAACTTACTGAATCCGCACGGCAGTTGATTTTGACTGGACACCTGCGCGTATGCGACCGCCAGGAGAACACAGAGAACAAGCACACGTAGCATTCCTGAATGAAATCATGAGGAAGTCGGAGAAACCCAAGATTCAGAAAATCTTCAGGTCGGGAAGGGGACGACAGGAACAGACATAAAGCTTATGAAGAGCTTATGAAGACAATAACTACGCTGAGTGCCTCCCTTTATATACTGACTGTTGATCAAAATATCGGCGGGAAATACCAGTAGTCAACAGCTCCACTGATCATGACACGCACTTGGAAGGGGATCATCAAGATCAGATCGATCTAACTGCTACGCAGTACTGGTGCTTTATTGGTACTTCTGATCGGTACCAAATTCAAGAGGGTCTGTCTAAAATGAAGGAATATAGTAAGGACACCACGTGCTAGACTTATTTCACACGATCGCAAAACGATTTCCCCAATTTTTCCATCAGAATTTATAATCAAGAGGAACTTTCAGATTTTCGGCTTAGGCTCAGTATCCCTTCTAAATTCGACTTTTTTCCTTACAACTTCAAAAAAACTGAATTGAAATAGTTAAAATTTGTCATACTAGCTATGCATTTCTTTTGACCATTTTCAAACAACGACCAGTCAGTGGTCAGAGTTTCAAATGGTTAGCACAACTATCGCACTATGGAATCCCTTAGGATCCATTGGAAGGTAAGTTTGTGACTTTCTGATAAAAGTCCAACGGGTAAAGTCCAACCGTAACCTCAAGCTCCACGCTTTCTAAATATAAACCCCTTCGTAAATACTATTTAATGTAATTGGTGTCCTGAACTCTTTTACGGGAATTTTATTAGAACTTCATTGGGGTGGGGGAGGGGGGTGGAGGTTTTGGTGTTATGACTTCGTCTGAGCCTGAAGTCACCCTGTAAGTATCCGACCATGGGTCTCCACGGCTCTACTGAAATCTGAGACTCCTCATAGAATTCTCGTAATACGAACAGACGCTTAGCATCTTTGGTAGCTTTCTGGGATTCCGATATTGGGGAGCTGTACCAAGAGCGAGGTTGATCAGTCTGTGCTGTTTTATGATCCGTTCTCTCCGAACAATCTTCATTGAAGATCGTACTAGGCATTAGGGGGCTTGACTCCGGCCGATCTTTTGATCAACTGACATTGCTGGCGGAGGGAGTCACTCACCACATTCGCTGTTTCTGAGTAATCCCCTTTTCTACTTTCTTTGACACAGTAATTACAGTTCTTTTGGATTTGTTCATTGTTTTCGAAGTTATTTCATGCTTCAGTGGCTGCAAGTTATTCGAGATGTTCTTTTGCAAAACTAACTAATGAAACCTAATGTTTTCAGTTTAACCAAAGCACAACTCCAACTTGGAATACGTTCTTCATGCTAAACCGTTCCATCTAGATGGGAAACCTGAAAGGTAGGTAATAAATACAATACCTATTATGGCTACTCAATTGGACAAAATTTTGTGCCTAAGCGACTCGTAGACAGACGAAATGTTCTACACATGTAGTTCACTCTCGTTTGGGCCCCTGATTGACTGAAAAGGTTTCTAAATGAGAGCGCCCGTCAAGAGGCTTTATCTTGAACGGTACATGTTCCATGGTCTGCTGTATGCTAGAGCAACATTTTATTGATCCTTCTAGCTGAAATTGTTTGTGTTCAGTCGGCTTCTACAGCCTTGGGAACACAAAGAGTAGGAATTTTTCAATCAGTGTTATAGTAATTCATTTGCAGACGAGCTCAATGAGTACATATTTTCCGAAGAGGACGTCCGTTGCGCGCGTCCGTTGAAACTAGGTCACACCGCCCACTCCGTGCGCGGCGCATCCCACTGAGGTCTCGAGATGACATTAGAGTACCACCAAGTGTCGGTGGAGCGAATGATTTGCGTTTGTCCGTGTTATCTTCTCATTGGCTGACAGCCGTGGACCAAGCGCAAACCGTATGCCCCACTGACAACTGCGACGTCTGTCAAGTATCGCGGGCTGACCCGCCGCATGCGACGGCTGCGGCGTGACCTAGTTTCGACGGACGCGCGCAATGAAGCGCACCCGTTTTCCGAAGAGAGCGAAGATGTAAAGGGAACAGGTTTAACATTGAACAAACTCTTCGGTGTTGATCAATTCCAGAAGGTTCTGGTACGAATCCGTTGGACCCGAGGGTTTGGTAGGGCTAGATTCACATTCACATGGTCACGGATTCGAAACCGTGACGATGTGTGTGTTATTGAGCGCCACTTCCCCCTACACCACCTCCGCCAATTAACAATGAGTATAGCCAGTGCCCGTATAGCACCTCTGTGTTCAAATTTACAGTGTTTCTTGATCCTTACATTACTAAGACCGGGATTTAAACTAATAACTCCTTTTATACTTTTCATTTCGGTATGAAGGTCGATACTCCGTTATTACAGACTTGTTCAAAGTTATTTTGAGCTAAACGTGGTTATGATGAAAAAGCTAAAGTGATTATATGCATGGCTTATTATTGTGTTAACATTAACGCGATTCACTGAATTTCCTCCTCCACTCTCTAGAAAAACCACGGCTTTCTCTTCATTACCGCTTTTGGTCTTCTGATCCGGCTTCACTTCAAGAGCACTTCTCCAGACATTATCAAAGGACTTTCGGTCTGGCACCTTCGAATTTTTGGTCGGTCCCAGATGGAATTCGGTTTCAGTATCATGTCGTAAGAAGTCGAACTACTTGGCAATTCATTATTTATTGAAAACAAGAAAGTCGTTACGGCAAGGTCAAGAATACTTTCACAACAATTACAACATTTGATAATGAGTAATAGGTAATTGCCATAGACAAAACTAAGTAATAATTTGCTAGGATTGGATAGCAATATTCACACAACAAATATATTACTGCCTTATTACTATATAGCTATATAATTACCTAACTATGGAATACGTTGAATTCTGAGACTGCCCGTACAGTACCCGTAAGAGAAAAGAAATCGTTTCGCCTCTATGGTGGTCTCGAAATAATTCTCAGTTACACAATAGCATTGGACTGGAATCATACTGTACTTCAAGCAAGATTATTTCTTAGGTATATCAATTTGGTGAGTATTTCACGGGAAGAATTCGTTAATAAAACGTCGGATATCGACCGCTGACAGCATCCACAGTGCTATCCGTAAACGAGAACCTTTTTGCTGATGGGGAAAACGATTCCGGTAGATCTGGCGTACGTCTGGATGTTAGACGCATTAAGGCGGCATTCTAAAAAGAATTTTAAATCAGAAAATGCTTGATCTAGAAATTTTCTTCAAATATCGTCTCAGCTATTTTGCTCTTCAAAAATATTAAGGTAATTTCGCTTATAACCATATTTTCCTGAGAGAAAAGAGGCTGAATGCTCTGGGCAGGCCGGCTCCTCAGAGGCACAGTACAGGATAAAAATGATATCTGAGGTCCTTCCCTAGGATGAACCTGTGACTCCCAATGATAGCCTAAGGGTCTGTCGGGAGAAATTCTGTGTGTCGGTTTATCGGGGAAAACAGTCAAGACACGGCGTAATAAGGGGCCCCAAAGTTGGCTTAGACGACATACATACCCAGCGCGGTCAAGTTGATCGACATAGAGCTGTGGAGGTTGCTCCATTCGCACCGGGACCCATGCCTCGCACGCAGGCAGCGAATTGCAGCCAGCTGTGGGTTTCTTTTGAAAGCCTTGAGCCTCGCTAGGCATGCTAATTTTCGCATTTCTGAGCTATCACTTTCATTATTAGCCCAAAACTAGATAACCCAAAGTTTTTGTGAATTGGGCCTTTGATGAACATTTTGAGATCTGTGTTGATATCGCTGCTCTGGTATGGTGAACGGAAGCTCTGCAAGTTTACCCTACTCATCCCATTACCCTTTAACCATCCCTTCGGATGATCCTCTTGTTCCATTGTTAGAAACTTTTTCTGGGCTATAGCCGTTCCTCAATAGGGCAGTGTGCCATTATTCACGATGTTATATAGGATGACTTGAATTTCAACAGGCAAATAGACATTACTAGACAAAAAGGGATTGCAGAACCCCATTTCAATATTGCTGATGACCATTCGCCCTAAAATATGCGGCGAGACAGTTAGCCAGGATTCTCTGCTGTTGTAGGCAGGTCGGGACTCCCTATTTACCCGGACTGCAGTTCCAAAGAATTGGTAGTGCTAAGAGCATACATACAGGAGATGAGACCACTATATACTCCTCATACAGTACTGGTCAGTGAAGTATGCGTTTTCACTTNTTCAAAGGTAACTTCCCCAAAACTCAAGCTTTCTTCTTGAAACTCAAACAGTAGGAAATATGGACAGTTACTAACATTATACTACTCCACTACAACAGTCTTCATAATGAACGTTCGAGAGAAAACTTACCATATTCATCAAATTGAGAGGACTGATAGCAGGATTATCATGGTAGGATGGTGAATCTGATGAAAGCCTTCGAACGATGAAGAATGGCGTGACTGAAAATTCAAATGATCTCTTCTTTTCTAGAAGCGACCGTCCGTTCCTCTGACTTCTCATCGGCCTCTACACGATTTCCCTTATATGAAATGGGAGGTATGTACATCCCAGAAACATCCCATCAACCCTTCGCCCCGGATTATTCCCCTGCTCTCTTTTTATAAGGTGCATCTTTACCTGAATCAGGTTTACCTGGATACTTTCGACTCTCAACGGCTCTTACTGGATATCACTAAACCGGTTGGAAATGACAGAATGAAAGTTCTTACCTGAATGTTGAGAAACTATAGCCAACAGAAGGAATGCCGCTGTAAGTGTCCAACTAATCGTCATTCTTGAAGCTTCAACTGCACTGAGACCTTTGATCTGAAAGGAAAAGACGTGGTATTCATTTCTAGGACCGATTATACTATCGCGGTATCACGAAGTTCAGACTTCAACCAAAATCGACCATTCTGGCGGAGTGCAGTCGCTGGCTGAATGGTGGAACGGAGTGGGAAGCGACAATAACTGATTTAGCCAGAACTTCTCATTCCAATGAAAGCGAGCTCAGTAATTAATCATATTTATATGCTGCAAATGAGCAGGAATTCTGCTGACATCTGATGCTCCGATGCAACTGACGATCGGTTTACGGTTGAGTTACTCGGAAAAGAGTGGGCGAAATGATGTCAGAAATATGAGGAAGCCACCGCACTGGCT